ACTAAGGAAGAACGCCGTATGAACTTACAAGCGTTGCCAATTTCCCCCGAATGAAACATGTATTTTTGAAGAAAGTCATGCATAGTTTTTCCTGAAATTTTCAGATATATTAGATCAAAATGCGAACAAAATCGTCTGAAAAATTGGAGGAAAAATATTCAGAATTTCTCCAGTAAATTCGTCTTTTATTGAAGGAAATATGGCCATGCCTGAATGCTCATACGGCGTTCTTCCTTAGGACGGCTGCGTACCATTCGCGGCGGTCAACAATACTGCCGTGCTAAGGGAAAACACCGTATGAACATTCGAGAGTTGCCAAGTTTCCTTTGATAAAATGTTTATTTTTGAGGAAAACTATGAACATTTTCCCTTGAAATTTTCAGGAGTTTCAGATCGAAATACGAACAAAATTCTCTGGAAAATTGGAAGACAAATATTCATAAGTTTACCAGGGAATTCATGTTTTCAAAGACAATCTGGCAACGCCTGAAGGTTGATACGACGTTCGTCCTCAGCACGGCAGAATAACGGAGGAGCTTTCAATTTTAAAAAGCCTTCCGTTCCATAAATATGCAACACGTGTTACCGCGCCGCGGTGATGAATGACTCCCTCGGGCCGCCCTGAATTTCAACGCCGACTCTTGAGCTTTTAACCGTTAAACTTTTTTCGCCCTCACTTCGTCTCTAATCCCGCCACGCGTGAGGCGGGGCTTACCGATGGGTGCCTTGTTTACGAGGGACATCCCGGCTCGGGCTCATGGACCGGAATAATTAAAGAGACCGTTAAACATGGGTTATGCTCTTAATTAAGGGTCCGGCTACGCGATGAAAACCCTCTCATCGCGTGGAGAGCAAAGCAAAGTTTGTCGTGCGGTTTTTTTTTTTTTTTTTTTTTTTTTTTTTTTTTTTTTTTTTACACAAAGCGACCTCAAGAATAAGGGTAGTAGGTGCTAGCTCTCTGAAATAAACCCAAGAGTATGCATATTAATGTTTCAACCTTAGTGAAGGGTAAGACTCCACGTTTGAGGTAATACTTCCGGCTGAAACATGCACGGGAGCGGATAGGAGGAAGAGAGAAAATGGACTTCACTGCCAAAACATTCAAAATTGCGATATTAAAAGTTTCGAATCGGGTCTTGCAAACATTTTAGGATAGAAAGAAAAAACCGCACAGGAACATGCATTTTTATTCAAGTAAAGACGGTTTGAATATCAGAACCTTTAATTATTGAATCTCTTAAATTGTCGCGAATGGGGCTTAGAATTGTCTAAATTAAAGTAAAATGTTACACCGAAACCAATTATAATTTTTATTTACTGTACTATGAAAAGTGTTCTACGTCGGAAATTCAAATTTCAATTTTTTGACCCTTTACAAATACATATCGATCTCTTCAAAAATTTGTCCTTATGCACTGGAGCCCTTTTTCATGAGCGGTCACATATTCTTGAACACATGACATCTCCTTGAAGCAGTAGGGATACTATTTGAAAGAGCGCACAATTTGAAACAATTGGCAAGTAAAGTAGGAAACAATATATCGAAACAAAATTTCCTACCGTCTCAACGAAAAGTTCCTGTGGCGGCATATTAGACAGGAATCCTGTACATTCAACAGGACATTTTTCTCAGTGCAAAACGTTTGTTACAGCAAGGACGGATCAAGGCGCCTCTTACGAGGGAGGGGGGGCGTGCCCCCTTCTTGGATCCGCTTATGAGTTAAAGTTACAGCCAAACACGTAACACTTAAGCCGTAAGGCATGTGAGGGACGCGTCGTGACGCAGTGAGCCTACCCTACGTCTGTTCGTTATCCCTGAGTGACGAGTGAAAAATAACAGCAATCATACCTCCGCGTTCTTCACTCTTGCCCTCAGCGAGGCGTTTCCGCCGCCCTAAGTGAAAAGGTGTCAAATATCGAGATGTCAACAACCGTCAAGGGAGTGGTGTTCAATTAGGGCGGTCCGTTTACTCAGCCCGAGCCACAACCCCTGCAATGCCGTAATTGGAACGAGAATTTTCTCGACTCAGGGCGCACCGACGAAATTGGGCGAAAAAGTTCCACCGATCCTCACAATGCAGCAATGGATTGCTCGTAACGGGGAAAGCAAAATTTCCTCGGAGGAGAAGGATCTAGCTCGTTAGGAGTGTGCAGAGAAAAAAATCCTTCCTACACTGCCGTTGAGAGGATTTTCACCTTATGAGCATCTGAATGATGCCAAATTTTCCTTCTTAAAAAAAAATTGAGAAAAATTATGAATACAGTAGACTCTGGATTATCCGGACCGATTTTGCAACCATGTAACTACGTACGCATTTCGATAAGTGAGCGGATCCGCGGAGAAGCGGTCGCAAGGCATATTGGCGCCTGCAAGGCTGAAGGAATACTTCACGCATTGCGCCAAACAGTGAGGTCGGCGTGGAACGCATTAGCGCCTACTGGATTGCATAAATGCTTCTCGCATTACGCCAAACGCAGTGCAGTCGGTTAGTTAGCCTAAAACGCACATTAGCGGCTACAAGACTGCATGAATACTTCACGCATTGCGCGCTTTAATCGTTGTGTTGTAATTTATCGTTGTTGGCTACCATTCACCATCACCATTGAGTCGTTCAGTTTGGCGTTAACCTTTTAAATTCGTGTTGGTATGTACATTATGTATACATAATAAGAATACTGTGGTATTGGTTGGTGGTGTTTGTGTTTACTATTATTATCCGGATTTCTTTTTCATCCGGATCGGGCCCGGCACCAATTAATCCGGATAATCCAGAGTCTACTGTATTTCTATTTGAAATTTTCAGATACTTTAAATAACATTAAGATGAAAATTTTCTGAAAAATTGGATAGAAAATTTTCACAAGTCTTCTTAAAAATCCATGTTTTATCAAAGGAAACTTGCCAGCGTACACGACGCGACGGTTCATACGGCGTTCTTCCTTAACACGTCAGTATGGAGACCGAATTTTCGTACGTATGGAATACCAAAGTTTTCGGTCCAGGTAAACGGAACCCTTGGTACTGCATTACTGCACGTACGCACATTAGTGTTAGTTGCTGCATTGTTACAAGAGTAAATTAGAAAACTTAAAAAACAATGATAGAGGGAAATAATAATTTTCGATGACTTATCTTTTTGGAAAAAGCAATTTTTTCAACTGTAATTTCTCTTACTACATCTTCCCTCCAGTGATCTGGATTCGAAATTTTTTCTTGTAACAGGAAGGAAAAATCGGATTTTATCATTGATAGAAAAATAGAACTAAAAAAATGTAAAATACATTGACGCACTTCGTTTATCATCTAAACGAGGAAACAAATTTACCTCCTTATCTGTGTGTTTTATTTTTGGTCTATAACTGTTTAAGAAAGCACTGACGAGTATGATTCTCGGTCTCATAATCAGTGAATAAGGAAGCAAATAATATTAATTTTCGCTAAAGCATTTTTAGTCGCGATAGGGATCTTGAACAAATATATAAACGAGAAGAAATGCAAAATGATAAAACCCGCCAGTATTTTTACCTTACAGAGCGTTCATTGTGTATAGAATCGAGTAACGCTGTCTCCAACTCCTTCTTAAGTAAGGTAAATTTTGATCTTTTTATCGACACAAGGAGTGCTTTTAATACGTGAATCTTCAAAAATATTTAACAACACTCTCAAGTTTTAAATATTTTTTGATCTAATAGGTTTTGCACGGTATACATATAGGGATCTTAGTGTTGCAGTAAGCAAATTTTGGATATTTTAAAGGAGCCTTTTATGTGGGCTTTCTTTGATAATTGTATTTTCCTTGTCTCTAAAGGGACAAATGCAAATTCGAGTTAAAAACAAGTATCTATGTAAAGTTCCGAGATTAATTTGGTTACTCCTAATATTCGAGGGCTGTGTAACGTCAGTTTTAAAAAATTGGAAGGATTAAAACTAATATATCGTGCTTTGAGCTTGTAGGACAATTTTAACCTAAATTCATTGATTCGTTCTCTCACAAGATCAAACCAACGCGAATACTATTTCAGCGTATGAAAATGTTAATTATACGTACACGGGCATTTTTGCTATTTTATTTCGTTTTCTCTAAATTCCTGGATTTTATATCCTCACCATAAACTGGCTAAAATATCTTGTGGGACTGGAAAGTGTATCAATTAAGCTCCCACGACTGATTCATCCCTGCAGGTATGTTTTGTAAGGTCGGTGTATCAGACGAAAAATGAAAGGAAACTCACGAATTATAGTGATTGCAGGAGGGTGGCCCGAAATCTCAGCACTCTAAATGTTTTGAGAGTAAAATCAAAATTAAGTGGCTTAGAAATAAGAAATCATACGCTGCCCGGCCTATCTATCAACAGGTGACAGGGAGACCCATGTACTACGTCTTATCGACCCTCCTCAATGCTCATTGCGTGACCAGGGTCTAGGGACGCTTTATCCGATTTTGAGCCTTCAAATCAAAGAATCAATTTCTTTTTGGTCAAAGTAAATTAATTGCAGCTCAACTCTTCAGAAATTCGTACATTCTGTGTTAGTTCGGCTACATTTTCCGACTTTGAAAAACTGAATGAAAAACTCATTTTTTTTTCAAAATGAATTTAAATATGATAAACTGCCTCGGAAGCAATCAGTCATAATTTTTTCATTTGAATAAAAATGACAGTAGTTTCTAATTGATGTCGATTATGTATAATTTTAAGCTACCATTTTGGAGAACTTAGAAATTATCCATCCGTCGCTATCTTGTCCTGAGGCAACTTGGTGCGGGAATATTTTATCTCCAAAATAAAATATATATTTTAAAATCATATTCCAAAGCGAAAATTTTTCATCGCAAAATAAAAACAAAAATTCTACGCACAATTAGAGACAAATAAATAGAAAATGTCGAAAATTTCTCATTTTCCACGTCGAAGAAGTGTGAGGGCAATCCAGCAATTCAAATACATCAAGAAATGTGAAAATAACGTGTAATCCACACGTCGCAAAAATGAGGACTCACCTAAACTTGAGACATTGGACCGCTGACGAAACGGGAAACAAGGTCTTAAACTGGCGTCGGATGAGTTTCAGTGGCGACTGAAATCAATCAATACCGCCCTCTCGCCCGAGACCGGCAGAGCGCTCTACCGCCGAGGGTTGCAGTTAGTTTCAGCCCCCCACGCTTTCAGCCTTGGCGCTTGTTGCTTCTCCCCGGCTTGCGCTGAAATCCTGACCCCTCTCACTGAATTTCTGGTAAGGTGCATCGCCGCGCTAAGGAAAAACGCCGTATGGACCTCCAGGCGTTGTCAAATTCCCTCTGATAAAATACGAATTTATCGGGGAAATTGTATATATTTCTTTCAACATTTTCAGTTTAATATGTTCGCAATTGTACCTAAAATATCTGAAATTTCAAGGAAATATATGCATGAATTGCGTGAAAAATACATGTTTTATTCGAAGAACTTCGGCAACCCTTGAATGTCATACGGCGTTTTTCCTTTACACAGCAGTACTGGTGACAATTTTGTACATGCCGCAAGTTCTCGAGTAATTCCAATAGCTTAATGTTATTTTCTTTTATTTATGTTATGTAAAAAAGACCTAGAGAGATCATTCTTGAACTCGATGCCACTCCAAGGAGTTGGCGGAGGTTTTTTAAAGCTTTACTGTGGGCTCTCCCTAGTCCCTGCGCTTCTTTCCTGCCCCAAGCGCTCCTTGCCTTCAAAAAAATACATCTGATGTAAGACCCCAGGGTAATGCCAGTGTTTCCCTAGGGTAAATTTTATAAAAAAAGAGAATCAAAGCAAAAATTCCCCAAAAAAATCTTGTCTGGCGGTAAAAAAGTACGAAAGTCATCCCTCAAAAATTTTACAGCAATGGGCCCACCAAGAGATTATTATGTACCTGCAGTTTGATAAAAAATCATACTCCAAAAAAATGAAAGTTAGAGTTATAACTCAGCTATCCCTTATTGAGGTTACGCACCACTTACGTATTTATGTTATACTAACTACTTAAATACTATACGTAAAAAGGTGGTAAAATAATGCTGGGCCCACACTATTCCAGGAGGAGGACAAGACCAAAAAGTTCCATTCCATGAAAAATTTAGACGATAGGAACTATTGGAAAATTAATGAAAAAATTCCGTATGTTATGGATCTGATATACGTATTCGAAGTTAGATGCATAAAAAGTCAAAACGCCTCCAATCATTTGTAGATACAATGGGCACATCCCTGAACACTGCATTCAGACCTTGCAAACAATTTCCAGTGTTTCTGCGCGTAGGAAGATGTAGCATGTACTATGGTGTTTCAACTCTCATAAATAAAGCATGTCCCTCACTGTCCTCATTACTCAAGGTAAGATCTTTGTTGAATTCAGATAAACGTGTTGGCAACATGGTTTTCTTTTCACAATCAATTATTGATTTGTGGATTTACTTCTCATCATGAGCACCCTAATAGTATTAGGTACAACTTCAAGAAAGTCTTAGAAGTCATTTTAATGTTGCAAATCGCTTTTGCGTTGATGGCATGAAAACTCTAGACACCAATATTGCATTTTAGAATTTATTAAATCGCTAGTTTCCAGAAGTATTTTACGCTACTACAATAAAATAATAAATATCGTTGCCGCATGAAATTCTCTTGTTTAATTTTTCCATGGGTCAGGAATGATATGGAACTATTCTCAAAATTATTACATTTTCTTCTCTTTTTGAAATGGAAAGGTGCTTTAAATTTGTGATTAGTTTTAAGCTCTTTTCAGATTTATCATAGAGTTGTCATCCATGAAAATGGTTTTTGACGATAATCAAATCAGGAGTTGAAATTACAAACAACTAAGTTAGTATTCTCATTTGTTTTATTGTAGTTATAAACGTGTCCAAAAGAAGGCTAAGTCACAAATACGTAAATATAGTGGCAAATCTCCACAAAATAAAGACTACCCCCAAACTTAGGCAATATAAATGTTAAAAATTTCAAAGAAAAACCAATATAATAACGAATAAATTTTTTGCTTCAAGTTTCAAAATAAATTATCTTTTGGAAATTTACAAATGTACACTAATAGAAAACTTAAAGTATTTTAAACTCAACTAGAGAGGAAGTTTTTATCTGGAGTAAGTAATATAAGCGCACTAAAATTTCAAATGTTACACTTAACATGACAAAATCAAACTAAATATTTGAGAACATAATATTTCTGAACAAGGAAGACGTCGATAGATGGATACAATTTCGACTATTTGATTCTGCTTACTCTTACAAGTACAAGAAAAACATACCAAATGGGGATATTAAAATGAGTTTGAATAACAAAAACATTTCTTGATATCTTCCAAAAACTTAAGCTCGCTTTAATACTTTTCGAATGCACTGTTAAGCGTGTAAAAGGTTGCAAACGTAATAAAACAAAAATTTAAAGACATGTAAGATTATAGTATGCATTGATACGATTGTTAGTAATCAATGTGCACACAATCAAATGAAGAGAGAATTTCAAGGATCCTTTGTGAATTACATTATTTTTAAAAATTACTGGAAGAACACTAGTTGTGTTTAACCAAGAACAGCACCGAAATTTCCGCCAATTGTGAGGAAAAAGGTGTTTGCGCTCAAAAGGTGACAATTAAGAGGTTTTGTTGTATAAATCCATTAATTCTCAGGTACGACACAAATATAATCTTAAGTGGAAGATTGAATGGATTAAAGGTACATTATTTTTTTGTTAATAAGAGAAACCTGTAAAAAAATTGAGAATAGTTATAATTAAACCCTGTCTTCTGCTTTAAACGGTAGATTTTTTATTTCGATACATGACAACCAATTGTAATAATAATTTTATAGAGATTACCACCTTGAAAATTTTAACATCAAACTTATCAATTAGAAAATTGCTCGGACAAAGATTTTTATTACGGTAAACAGTACTATTTTTACGAAGACAGATGTATTTTAGTCATTCATCATAGAGAAACTCAATCATTTCCAAGTATATAAGAGTTAATTTATAGGAAGCATCAAAAAAGTAGAATAACCCCGAACCTTAAATACATTTTTAGTAAAGAAAAACAAATTTCAACATAAAACGAAACTTTTGGCATTCTCAGAATATTTCATTTCCAAATAACAGATAACACGTTCTAGATACCAACTGTGTAAGTACTTAACAATTCTTAACCAAATTAAAACATAAGAGGAAAATGTGAAAGACATAGGCGGGTGTTCATAAAAAATTGGAAGATTGAAACTTAGTCGACGGCTTAAGTCTTCCTGGATCGCTACTCTGCTTTTTTTTCTTCCAGAAACCCTGTGCATACTCAACGAAGGCACCAAAAGAAGAAGGAATTATGTACCAAGATCATGTTGTGTAAAGAGAGTATCTAATAAAACTAAAACAAATGAATTTTCACTTCCTGTGCACTCGGAAGTGTAAGTAATTTCTACAAAAATAAAATTAAGAATTTATGTAAACAACTAAAATAAATCACAGCAAATTTACACTCATAGGAGAGTGGATTTCAAATTAAGTGCCGATTTAGAATGTTCCATATGTAAAAATTAAGAATTTTTTTCACATTGTAGGATGATTTTGCACAAAGTTCTCATCCACGCTCCCTAGAGCTTTTTCACGTAAGACCTGAAGGTATCGCGATACTAGCATGAGTAAGGTAAGCCACTTAAAAATGCCTTCGACACTGATAGTCTATGTAATTCTTCGCAGATGACATGCGTGTTGCTGGCTAGAGTAATTGAAGGCGCGCCATTAGTCTAAACTGATCCTCTAGAATACTCTAGATTTTGTTCTCAACATACGCGTGAGTTGGTTCCAGGATGGTACACAGATTTTGGTTTTTCATTTAGCTTTCATTTACTAGCTATGTTGTACCTAAACTTCAACCATACATTTTTTAGGTGATCTGAGATTCCGAAAAAAAAAATTACATACACATTTTGGACATTTATCATTGGTGCACTCCTTGACATTTTTGCTGCTGAATCCAAAAGTAACCTGTGTTTCCTCCCAGCATGCACCAATTTTCAGAGGAATCGAAATTTCCTGGAAAATTTTATCCCCTGGAAAAACTTTGAAATGATAGAGACAAAAAGAGCTGAATCAAAGAGCAAAACCCCGTAATGACAAGTCCTAACGCGTAGGCGACAAAATTTTTGTTTACCAGTGCAGAGTTGATTCTAGCAAGTTGGTAACACCGTTCTTTCCTTTTAAATCTATTAAAATGATCGATTATTCAAGGTGATCAAAGGTTTTCTAAGCGACAGTTTAGGTTGTTTCACCAAGAATCGATTGTTCTACCTACATTTAATGGAGAAAAAATAGTTTTGTAAGAATTGGAAATGGACCAGACATAGTGGCTATTTTGCAAGTTGGCAAGAATGTTTTTCTCCATAAAAACCTATTGAAAATATCAATTTAGGTGTGCTTTACCAAGAATCGATTGTTTTACATGATTTAAATGGATGAAAAACAGCGTTGCCACTTTCAAGATCGCCACTGACCACACATTTATCAAAACGGTAGCGAAAACCTAACCTAAACCCTACAGCGCCACTCTCAGCACAGCATTTACCAACGATACCTCCAGGTCTCGAAGTAATATACAACCCTTAAACGACTATCAGCTACCAAGGCCTCCAAACAGACGAGCCTTCATCCTTCTCCGGTGACATTTGCTCGGCACTGAGGGTGCGGATACACGTTCCTAGGTGCTTCAGAAGCTTAACACCAGAACTTTGGTCGAGGGGGCTGGCGTCGGGGTTGGGGCTGGGGCTGGGGTTCATAGCCGCGGCCAGGTACTGCGACACCTCGGCCGCACAGTGGGTGAAGCCGGCGCGAAAGCGGTCCGCGTAGGCTGCCTCAGGGGTAAGCGCCAAGGCGTGCTGGCTTTGGAGGGTGTAAAGGTAGTTGACGGTCAGTTCCAGGATGTCCGCTTTTTCCAGCTTTGAGACGTTCTCGCCTTTGTCCTGCAGGGTTTTCACCATGAGTTCCTTCAGCTCGTCCAAGCATCGGTTGATCCGCGCTCGCCTGCGACGTTCCAGCATTGGTTTCGTGATCTGGAACAAAAAAATTTGAAGGTTAGGTTCTGGACTTTGGGTATTGTTCCCGATGGACTCCAAGGTGAATGGGTCAGTTGCGTGGTCTCAGAATCGTGTTTTGATGCTTGGTTTTTGTAGGTCAGCTAACAATAGTAAGATCTGTCCAAGCAGTAACTTTCTACGTTCTATATTAACCGAGATATCGCGCTTTGAAATGCCAGGTTTTTGACGTCATCCGTAATGCTATCCTTGGTTTCATCCGAGTTTAGGATTGATCAATCAGTGCAAATAAGTGTATCTTTGACTGATGAAAGCGAGATGGAGGAAACCGAAGGTGTCACTGCCGCGGTGGATGACGTCATAACTAATTTTCAAACCGATTATTGAATTTTCATTGAACGTTGAAAGTTGTTGATTGGCTAGATCTTACTGTTTTAAGCTGATCTGCAAGAAACAATCATCAAAACACGATTCTGTGACAAACGCAACTGACCCTTTCATCCATGAGTAAAAAGAAACTTTCATTGTGAGATATGCAGACCACGGGGAGACCTCAGACTGGGAGTCTTTTGTGAAACACAGTGGCGTCACTACTTTTCTTTATAATACATTTCTGAGCTCAAAAAAGCTCGCAAAGCTCAGGGCGTAGCGGAGAGAATATCATACGTCGAGGTCTACCTCCACATCTAGTCAAACTCTCCATACACAGATAGGGATGAAATACATTGTTACGGTTTCCGTGTTTGCAGTCTTGGAGTCCCCAAACAAAATGGCAACCCTGCTAATGTACTTGCTCCATTTATCTGCATGTAGAGTTTGGCCAGAGAGAGGTGGATTTTCAACGTCAACGTAGCGTGGAATAACCCTTCCATTACGGCCTGAACTAAGAGAGTTTTTTTAGACTAGGAGATGATTTCAGAAAAAATCAGTGGCATTGTCGTGTTTCCCACGACATTTCACCCAAGAGAATGCATTTAAATCGCAAATCCCTGACACATGCATGCAAAAACTCCATTCGCGGAAAACCTTTCATAAACCATGTAGACCATGAGTGGATGTTATGATATACGCGAACTGTGGATTAAGAACCTTTTGAACTGAACAATAAATATATTAGAATCTAAAGTAAAACATAGCAATCGCTGCATAGTTTACGGAGAGACGTTTCCATTTTCATGGACTTGTAAACTCCTATGACATGTACGTTTACAGTCAACACAAAACTGCTCATGAGCAAAGGGTATGATAAGAACACATTTCATTTTTGAGAGAATAAACACCGTAGTGCCACATGTATGTGCTACATCTTTAAACGTTCAAAACGTGGTAGAATTCGTTCATAACGCCTGCATGCAACTATTCGTGTTCAGGGGATGTGCGTGATGTATATTTGGACAATTGAAGGCGTTTTGAATTTTTGCGCCATACTGCAAACACACGCGTTGTGCTACCGCTGTAGGTAGTTGAGTATGTGGTACGATTGGATAAAGCTGGGTGTAAAAGTTGTAATTTCGCACATATATTAAAGGCAATCAGTTAAGCAGATGCAGGGAGGAGAGTTTAGCGAGCCTAACATTATTAGACGAACCTGATATAAAAAAAGCCGCGCTTTGAAGGCTGAATCTCATTGGAAGCACGGATATTTCAAGGTCATACCAAAAGAAAATCCAATGAGGGGATTTTTAACAGGATGCTCCTATAGGCACTCTCGAACAATTTCTCCCTGTACTTTTCTGTCGTGCTATGGAAAAACGTCGTATGAACATTCGGGAGTTGCCAAATTTCCTTCAATTAAATGTTTGTTTTTGAAGAAAGTTATGAATATTTTTCCTTGGAATTTTCAGGGACTTCAGGTGAAATTGCGGACAAAATTATCCGAAAAATTGGAGGGAAAACATTAGTAAGTTTACCAGGAAATTCACTTTTTGTCGAAAAAAGTATGGTAACGTCTGAAGGCTCATACGGCGTTTTTCCTTAGCACAGCAGTTTTGCACCATCATAGAATTATACCACGAGTCGGTATTAATTTATTCAAGCCTTTGTGCGAATATGCGAGGCGCGACACGTCCCGTCTCGCGGGCGATAGGAAAGGGAAATAGGGAAGGATTCTCCGGAGGATGAAAAATGTGACGTGGGGGACTTCTCAAATGGCCCGCTTAGCCCCCGTCATTTCTCATCGGCATTCACCCGATTTCATGACGGTCCAATCCGACGGATACCAGCCCTCCGTTGCCGCGCTCCGGAAAACTCCTCGCTATCGGTCCGGAAAAATTCGCGATTCGCCGCGGAGTTGACAACCGTTGACATGTCCCTCCGAGAAGATTTTCTGAGTAATTTCAAACGATGGGGGATATCTCTCCCGCCGCTAATTGGGCGCGCACGGAGACCGCGCGTTGGCGCATGCGCGCCTTGAGGAAGCTGGAAACTGATCCGACGATGTCGGATTAGAGGTTTCTGAGACTGAGCACGAGGGTATGTTAAAGCAGTGGGATTAGGGGATTTAGTATTGGACCGCGTCTGACAGAAAGGAACCAAGCCACACCGGTTAATGCCAAATTTAACTGGGCAATTTAATTTTTTACGAGAGAACTTTTGTGCGGATTCCTTCGAAAATTTTAAGGAATTTGTTTCGCACTGAGGAGAAAATTTACTGAAATTCGCACGAAATTCCGTACAACCGTTGTCAAGTAAAAGATTTAACTGTCCCATTAAATTTGGCAATAGCTGATGTCGCTTGGTTCCTTTCTGCTTAACGCGGTCCAATTGCAGGTCAGGTTTGAGAAAGACGTGCAAAATTGGGATGATCTTAACTTTTTCTTAAAGGATTGGATCATTATTTTGAGTTCGTTGGCAGTCTTGTCAATTTATGATCAGTTTTCAGCAATTTTTTCGATTTCTTGCTTATTTTTCTGTAATAGCCACAATGCCACAACATACGCATACCCATAGGTAAGGAACAATACTGCAAACTGATGATTTTGCAGTTCAAAGAAGAAACTTCGCATTTTTGTAATCTTGAGGTTAGATTTGCAAGTTTTTTTATTCATTTCAGCGTCTTTACAGCGCTCTCATGCGGAATTGAAACAAATAAAAAATCGCTTGTTTGTTTAACACTGAAGAATGTGGCAAAGTCGCTGACTCATTTTTGCCAAAATTGTCAGTTAAGCGGTATTAGAGTACCTTTATAGAGAGGGTTGAGACAACGCGGCTCTTACAAACGGAAATAAAGGTTACAAAAATTGAACGTTTTTCATAATCTTTGAGCAACTCATTCCCGAGTTCTTATCTTCGTTCCTTCTCTCCCTTGTTCCTTGTCGTGCCCCTAATGCGCCGGTCCATTCCAGTTTATAATCTTTGCAGTCGGTGAAAATGTAATCTTCACTCCCGTGTGTGACACTATGGAGGCCTAAAATAAGGGTACCAATCAGAAATGGATTCGTATTGTCTTTACTCTCAGTATAAAGGGACTCTAGGCCCTCGATTTACTAACCAGTGAACTTTTTTTTTTTATTTACTGAGAGAAAAAAGTGGCGAATCTTTGCGAAGATATGATTGTTTAACTATCCTCTTTCCCCGGGCCTGACAAGCCAGATCCTAGGGATTTCGATTCCCGGTGAACACTTCGAAAAACCTCCAATTCGGTAGATGCAGCTGTCCGATTTGGTCGCGATTTTTTCGCGGGCGCGACCGACGATGTAGCAACGAAGCGACGGATCAAACAAAAGCCAGGATGGACAGATTTATTCGATCGACTCTCGCGCTTGCCGCAAAGGAACTGCGGAAGGAATTTCCCTGTCGCCGCGCATGGCCGCGGCATGCGTCGCGGTTTAAACCCCCTGCAGCTGGTGTATAATGCACCGCGATTTAGGTTTACTGCTCCGACAACGACGAATTCCACTCTGATTCATTTCCACCGAGAATTCCCTGCCGCTCACCAACGAATCCCTCCCGCGCAAAAACAACGTATCCCCACGCGGATTTCGTGTGAAGATAAGTGGTTTCGCCTCCGCAGGCTGGGACTCGTGAATTCTCCCGAGCGCTGATGGCCGCGGCCGCTGAAATAGTTGCATTTAAGTGGCGGCGAGGCTGAGTGATCTGCCTAGACAGCTGCCTTGAAAAAGTACGGATCTCTGTTCGACGGCGAGGGAGGGAGGAGAAAATGGTCGGAAAAGTTCCTTTGTTCTGCGGACAATCGTCGCGGGGGTTGACCGGGACAAAGGAAGCCGAAAATGAGCGCATCAGTCTGCAGAAGGGCCGTTTTAGTTGGGGGGGGGAATTGTGGGGTGAAGTGTTAAAGGTAAAGCGGGTGAAATAAAAATGGTCTGCGTTCGGCAGAAAGGGACCAAGCCACATCAGCTATGGCCAAATTTTACCGGGCAATTTCATTTTTACATGAAAACGGTTACGTGGATTTTTTTTGTAAGAGTGCAAATTTCAGTGATTTTTTTGGATAGTACACGGCAAATTCCTTAACATTTTCAAATAAAAAATCCGCACAAACGTTCTATTGTAAAAACTTAAATTGTTCAATTAACTTATTCGGCAATAGCTGATGTTAACAAGTGATTCTTCTAGTTTTCATCCTCCTTGGATCAGTTGTATTTATTCTCAGCAGCCAGTGAAATCAAACCATCAAGCATATGCGTAACTTTTTTGGAAAGAGGCTCTAGTCCCAACCTACCGGGATGGGCAAACGTACCTCTCGATACGCCGTTAATTTTTGAATTATTGAGTTAAAATGTGCCGATTTGGACTGTTGTCGTAATCATGGAGGGAGGAAAATTTTTGGGGTCACGATCCCCGACCCCATGGGGCCAGAAAGGAAAGCATCCCCCAAAATATCAATATTTTCAAAAGAGGACCCCGCCACGCACTTGTGACACATCAAGTTATGACGTATCGAGACGTTTCTATTGCCCATATTAACAAAGAGAAAATCATCACTTGATTTATTATATTGGGCGGAGTTAAACAGAAAGGAACCAAGCCACATCGGGATCGAACTGAGAAAAAGAGGT